CACACTTTTGCACCTTTTTCAGGTAAGACTGTCTAAGTTTGCCATTTCTTTTTTTCCTAAGGTAAATATTTGGAGATCTAATAAAAATACTGTTTGCAATATACAAAGTGTTCCTTTGCTTTTATAACCAGAAAAAAAAGAAAGGAAAGTCTCATCATTTTAATAAAAAAAATATTGCTTTTCTTTTCATATCAACTAAAAACTATTATCTGAAGAGGAATAAACATATTTTAGCCAATGAAATCAAAATGGCTACAGTTATTGATTAATTATCTCTTTCAATGAAACAAAAATGAATAGAAAAGGGAAATAATTTTCAAAGAATTCCAAAGACAGATTTGGTTCTAACCAGGTGGAAGCTTTTCCTTTATGAAAAGACAAAAATTAAAAATTAAAAAAATAATGGCAAAACTTTTAAGACAGATTGTGAATTTATTTTTATTTATTCATTTTGACTATTAATATTAATATTTTCTTTTAGCAAAACTAATGAATGGAATAATAAAACTGGTATTTTCAATTATTGGGGTGGGTAAGGGGAAAGGGGGGAGGTAAAAAAAAATGCTCACAGACTCAGATCAATCAAACTCAAAAGATTGTTAAAAGCAAAAGAACGTCATTTACGAGATATTCATACAATTCTATAAAATCAATCTTAATCCATACTACAGTAAAAGAAAAAAAACTGAGTCAAAGTTTTTTATATGCATGCAAAGGCGTATGCATGCACATGTAAGTAAATACTTGCACGCTGAATAACACTGTCTTTAACATTGTCTGCATTGCATAATTGCAGTAAAGTACAAACAAGCTCCTGCCCAACCATCAAGGTTGGCAATAGAAATAAGTCTTTTCTTGTTAGTTCATGGAAATGGTTTCTGTCTAAGTGCTCAATTACCATCTCTGTTCTCTCTGAACCATTGTGGCATATTATAGGAGACATTTTGTTAAGATATCTGCCAATAGGAGAGAGCATTAAGGGAAGTGGATTCATGCCTTTCCAAAGGGCATTCATTCAAGATGAAGTCAAACACATTCATTTGACTGTCATGTCATATTGAAACATCTGTCTTTCCTCTCACCATTTCTCATTTGGGAAGACAGTGGGGCTGACACAAAATGATTTTAACCTGTTCTCTTTCTAGCTGAATACCTCAAGGATTTTTCAATGATTCTTACGACAAATGGTATCAAGATGGTTAAACATCTTATCTGAGCACCTGAAAAAAAAAAAAAAACTAAATTTGGTGTTTTTTTTTTTAGATATTTAACATTTTGTGGGATGGACAATTATGCTGTAACACCTGATATATATATATATATATATATATATATATATATATATATATATATATATATGTAATAAAAAAGGTTTAAACACTAATATTCCATGGTCATAATTTATTCCATTGGAATAGAATACGATCCAATTCATCAGACCTAGAAATTCAAAAAGAAAAACAGAAAACAACTCCAGGAATAAAAAAAATAAAATTTAGTGAGAGTGTATGTATGAGAGTGTGGGACGAATGTTAGAGTAAATGAAAGCTATAGGGAGGGGTAATAGACGAGAGAAGAACAGGAAGGTCTAAAGATGAAGCGGGGATTAAAATTTGGCAGAGAGAAATTTTAAAGAAGGGAGTCAAAGACAGTTTAAGTGAGAGAAATATGAATATTCTCAGATGTCTAATACATTAAAGATGTAACCGGAAAAGATACATTTTGTGGTGACATACACACACAATAGATGATTTAATCTTAAAGATCAGAAGATGAGAGAGGGAGAGGAAAAGAAAAGAAAAAGTGGTGGGGGGAGAGAGATGGGGTGAGGGCAACTAAAATCGAAGGGCATTTATAAAAGGGTCGCTCTGTAATAAAGAAAATTTGACAAAAGTAATATCAACTACAGGTTACAATTGTAGGTCTGATGAATTGGATCATATTTACGATTTCAATGGAATAAATTATGACCATGGAATATTAGTGTTTAAGCCTTTTTATTATATCCTTACTCTGTCCTGGACATTAAGTTCTACATGGATTCTATCCTCTTGGATTTATTTTTTATACAAATATATTTGTATGTGTATGTATATATATTTATATATTTTAGATATATAATTGCATATGTGTGTATATTTACCACTAATATTATAATATTATATATATATATATATATATATATATATATATATATATAATTGCATATGTATGTGTATATTTACCACTAATATTATAATATATATATATATATATATATATATATATGTATATATATAATTGCATATGTATGTGTATATTTACCACTAATATTATAATATATATATATATATATATATATATGTATATATTTACTACTATTATAATATATATATATATATATAATATATATGTATATTTACCACTAATATTTTTATATATATATATATATATATATATATATATATATATATATATATATATATATAAATTAGTGGTAAATATACACATACATATGCAATTATATATCTATATATATATATATATATATATATATATATATATATATATATATATATATTAGTGGTAAATATACACATACATATGCAATTATATATAAAATATATATATATATATATATATATATATATATATATACATATATATATATATATATATATATATATTAGTGGTAAATATACACATACATATGCAATTATATATCTAAAATATATAAAATATATATATATATATATATATATATATATATATATATATATGCATTGTTCTTCAGCTGAATCAATAGAAAATGTTAAAATTTCTCTCTGCCATGCGACGATAGCCTAGGGTAGGATCTCTGACTGATGCCAAATCAGTCAGGTTGTGATCACAACTTGTAGCAATCGGATGTCTAGCCACACTGAAGAGCTGTGATACAGTGAAACGGTCTGTCTGTGGATGACAATACATATATATACACTGCGTGCCAAATTATTATCGAGATAACTATTTTTCTAATATTTCAAAAACCGCCCAATCAATTCACACAAAATTTTCACACAATGTTGGCAACACTGACCTGCAGAATCACTGACATTTTCGTACTGATCTGCCCAATGTAAACAAACTGGCACCATATTTGTTATCAGTGTGGTAATTTGAGCGTGCCAAATTATTAGAAAAGTGTAAGAATTTAGTAAAAAGATGGGCCGTAAAAGCAGTTTAAGTGATGCTGAAAAGAAAACAATCACCTCAGAACTCTCAAAAGGTAAATCTACCCTAGAAATTTCTAAAATGATAGGTAGGTGTCATCAAACAGTGAAAAAGTTCACTGCCGACCCTACACAAGTACACAAAAGGGCAGATAAAGGCAAGCCAAGGGTTATTTCCCATCGTCTCATGTCACGACTTAAACGAGAGGCCATGACGAACCCTGGACTTACCAGTCAAGAGCTTTTCCGTCGCATTGGTGATCCTACTGTGTCTAAAAGTACTCGGTGTCGGTATCTGAGAGAAATAGCAACAACAGTCAAACCTGTATCGAAGCCTCCGTTGACGAGAAAGCACATTCAAAATCGATTGAAATGGGCTGAGGACAATATGAAGATTGACTTCTCTAAAGTTTTGTTCACAGACGAAACTCAAGCATCACTTGATGGGCCAGATAGATGGTGCAAAGGCTGGGTAATGAACAGACAGAATCGCCATCAGCGTTTGAGATGCCAACAAGGCGGTGGAGGCATAATGATTTGGGGTGGTATTATTGGAAAAACATTAGTGGGCCCATGGAGAGTACCAGATGGCGTCAAAATGACTGCTGATGCATACATATCATTTATGAAGGAGCATCTTGAACCGTGGTTGAAAAGGCAAAGATTTACCTTCAGAAGGACCATTGTTTTTATGCAAGATAATGCTCCTTCACATGCTGCTCACAAGACTACTGAATATTTGAAACAGTTAGGCTTCGATGGACCTCGAAAAATGAAGTGGCCAGCAAATTCTCCGAATTTGAACCCAATCGAAAACCTTTGGAGCATCATGAAGTGAAGACTGTATGCCAACGGACGACAATTCAGGAGCAATGCTGAGTTGTGGGAAGCAATTCTTGACATATCTTGCGGCATTACCGCAGATGACATCCTACAATTAACAAATTCTATGGATCATCGACTTCTTCAAGTAATTTCAAAACAGGGAAAGCACATTCCCTATTAATTTGTTTAAAACTGTGCCTTTGTTTGTATCTGTTATTATTTGTTTGATTATCTTATTTATTAGCTTCTTTTGATCATAAACATTCACGTGCAACATTAATAGACATTTTGTTTGCTCAATTCTGGGAATTGTACTAAACCTTTTTAATAATTTGGCACACTCAAATCACCATGCTGATAGCAAATATGGTGCCAGTTTGTTTACATGACACAGATCAGTACGAAAATTTCAGTGATTGCGCAGGTCAGTGTTGCCAACATTGTGTGAAAATTTTGTGTGAATTGATTCAACGGTTTTTGAAATATTAGAAAAAAGTTATCTTGATAATAATTTGGCACGCATTGTGTGTGTATATATATATATATATATATATTATACACACACAAACACACACATTTGTTTATGCAAACTCTACGCTCACCCTACTGAGCTGTTTCAACTTCTGTTGCCATTTATGATCAGTTTTCATCAGCAGCCTTTTTCTCAATTAGAATGTAATCTATCTGTTTTCAAAAGTGAATAAAAGATGATATGCATTATAGCCCTGTGAATATTTTTATAGTCTACATATTTCTACAGTAGAATAACAAGATATTGTGTTTGCATCAGCATGCATTAAGAGAAATCCATCTTTATCCAATGGATTATGGCTTAAACACATTGAGTTTTCAATTGTGTGGAAATTAATGAAATAGTCTAAAGAAATTTTCTTGATCAATGCTTCTTGTGAATTTGTATTAATTCAAAACACCAAATGTTTTCTTTTTATGGGTAATTTATGTGTCCTCCTCATGTGTATTGTTTCAGCAGCAAAAGTGGAGAGACCTTGTATTCAGGAATATCTGGACAATTTGAAATGGCTGCATGGGGCTTGAGATGATGACAAAGAACAGATTAAGGAAAATGTGAGGAATGGAGACAAAGAAGAAAGAGAGGAGGGAAAGATCAGAGAAAGAAGAATAAAGAATAAGACAGTCAGAGAAAGAAAATGAAAAAGAAACAAAATGAATAAAAAAAATGAAATATGACAAAATGAAAAATGGAAACAAATGAGGGATGCAACTAAAAAAAAAAACATCAAAAGAAACAAAATGAAAGAGATATGCAATCAGTAAAGGAAACAAAAATGTAAACGAAGGAGAACAATAAAGGAGAGATATAATAATAAAAAAAAAACTACGGAAAAATACAATCAAAGAAAATAAAAAGTGGACATGCAATCACAAAAACAAAAAAACACCACCCAAGAAAAAAAAAATATGAAGAAGAGTCATGACCACCAAAATAGAAACGATGTGATGAAAGGAAAGGAGAGGGAGGAAGGAGAGGAAGGAAAGAAAAGGGGAGGAAGGAGAGGAAAGAAAGAAAGGAGAGGAAGGAAAGAAGGAGAGGAAGGAAAGAAAAGGAGAGGAAGGAAAGAAAAGGGGAGGAAGGAGAGGAAGGAAAGAAAAGGAGAGGAAGGAAAGAAAAGGGGAGGAAGGAGAGGAAGGAAAGAGAGGAAGGAAAGAAAAGCAGAGGAAGGAAAAAAAAGGGGAGGAAGGAGAGGAAGGAAAGAAAAGGAGAGGAAGGAAAGAAAAGGGAGGAAGGAGAGGAAGGAAAGAAAAGGAGGAGGAAGGGAGAGGAAGGAAAGAAAAGAAGAGGAAGGAAAGAAAAGGGGAGGAAGGGGGAAAGAAAAGGAGGAAGGAAGGAAGGAAAGAAAAGGAGAGGAAGGAAAGAAAAGGAGAGGAAGGAAAGAAAAGGGAGGAAGGAAAGAAAAGGAGAGGAAGGAGAGGAAGGAAAGAAAAGGGGGAGGAAGGAAAGAAAAGGGAGGAAGGAGAGGAAGGAAAGAAAAGGAGATGAAGGAAAGAAAAGGGGAGGAAGGAAAGAAAAGGGGAGGAAGGAGAGGAAGGAAAGAAAAGGAGAGGAAGGAAAGAAAAGGGGAGGAAGGAAAGAAAAGGGGAGGAAGGAGAGGAAGGAAAGAAAAGGAGAGGAAGGAAAGAAAAGGGGAGGAAGGAGAGGAAGGAAAGGATAGAAGCAATCACCAAACGGCGGGGGGGGGAGAACAATAGAGAAAAACAAATTGAAAAAATGAAGGAGAAATAAATGTCAACAAAAGAAAAAAAAAAAAAGAAAGAAGGAAAACTGCAGCCAAAGAAAAAACAAAAGTAAACGAGAGATATAACCAACAAAAGAAAAAATTCCGAATGAAAATAAAGAAAATAAGAAAAAAAAAAAAAAAATAAAATCAAGCAAATTTTTGAAAAATATTAAGAAACCTCAAAGTGAACAAGAAATACTTGAATAATGAAGAAGAAAAATAAAGTCATTGTAATGAGTAAATTTGATAAAGAAAGACGAAGAGCTGAAAAAGATAAAATCAAATGAAAGAGACAAAGAATAAGAAAACTGGAATTGATAAAGAAAAAAATTAGAAAGATAATGACAAAAATGCTCATAGTAAAATGAAGATAATAAAACTGAAAAATATGTATTTATACAAACAGTAAATAAATAATAAAAAAAAAAATCAATATTAGACAAAAGATGTCTGCCAGAGGATATGTACACTTTTTATTTTTTTTATTCTTTTTAATGCAAATACATTTCCTGACTCAAGGAGTAACCATTCATCAAAAATGTACAAACATCCAACATCATCTTTTTTAATTCAGTCAGAGTTGGGGGATGAGGTGTCTGGCTGGCCTTTTCTGAAAAACATTGTTTTCTTTTTGAAAATGAAACCAAAGTTCACCATCTCTTTTCCCATTGGTAAACCTCCATTAGATAGAGAAACCCTTGTGAGACTTTGCTATGAATCCAAGTCCATCCCAAGAGAAAGGACGGCTTATTTGCATCTTAAGCTCTGAGTATTATTTTTGCTGAATCAATTTAAGGTAAAACGCTTCAGTGATTAAATATAAAAAGAGTGAGAACTCACACTTTATCTTTACCTATACAAGCAAGTACTTAACCTTATCATTTTTTTTAAAATTTCTTTGTTTTTTATTTACCTTAAAAAAAATTACTTTGAAAAAAATAAATAAAAGTAATTTAAGCTGATATTTTTTTTTTTTTTCAAAATGTGCACCTAATACATGACACAAGAGCCACTCAAGGTAGAGTGTTACTGAATGAGGTGGCTGTATGGACATATGAGGAGGAAGCAAGTGCAGATTATGAGGATATGTAGGACAGATAATCGTTGACCTCAACTTGAAGAAGTTAAGATTGTAGTAATTAGGGAAGCATCCTCTTGGGAGTATGTTCCACAAAGAATTTCTTAGGAAGAAACTGTCCAAGTGGAACTTGCGACTTACCAATTTAAGACAAAGGGAATGAGGATAGTTCAACCTTGGCGGATGCTAGCTGGTGGAATTAGAGAATGTAGCTTGTCAGAGCATTTGCCACCAAAATAGTGATAGAGTAGAGCCAGACTTGCAATATTGTGTCTGTAGGAAAGGAGTTGTAAGATGGAAAATAATCCCCCCACACATACCGAAAACACCACTTCAGTGATTCTGAACTCTATCAAGGCTGGAAAGTGAGGACTACGCAGCAATACTTCATTTTTGGTTTGATCTGGCTCTTGTAAAGATAAAGTAAGGCAGGAGTCAGGTAATTCCTGGAGTGGTACAAGAAAACCACCATTTCTCCATCTTTTATGATGGATTATATATATGAGTTCTACTTGAGGTCTGGAGGGGAACTTAAGTAGCAACAAATGTTCAAAAGAAAGAGTCCCATTGAGAGTAGAAATGTTCATTATAACAAGAAAATTTAAGGTCAGATTGGTGATGATTAAATATTAATAACTTGGTTTTAATGGGCACATGGCCGAGTGGTTAGAATGTTTGCATTCTGACCATGAGACCCAGGTTCGAATCTCACTATAGTCAATTTGTCAGGAAGGAGACTTCTTGATGTTATTGGACTGGAAGGGTCGATCCCAGCATGCAGCACCTTTGGAAAGTGCCTGAAAACAATACCATGAGTTGAACCAAGCCTTGTGAGTGAAATTGGGCAGACAAAATCCTTGGGTGCCATTTATAGCTGTGATAGCACAAAGTCACAAGTCATCATGGCTGAGAGCTTGAGCATGCTGGCCTTTTTCAAATTGTTGATCACGCAAGATAATGCACTCTTTCCCAAAAACTGTAACTAAGGTCTGCTCAGCATAATTGCAGTGGAATAAACATAAATGTGCCTGAGCAAGTGTATGCAATAGGGATTAGCTAACTGCCCTAGTAGACAGGTATCCTCGAATACGAGTGGCCAGCTATATACTGTATGTATATACTGGCTTGGTTTTGGAGGTACTGAATATGACAAGCCAGTTTTCCCGCTCTTGAGCTGTTAGAGCTAAGTCAGATAGAGATCAGCTACCATGGCTCTGATCATCTAAGTTTTTGAAGATGCACTCATAAACTCTTATCATCAGTTTAGATATTTATTAATTATTTGAAAATGTTCCAGGGCAGGAAAATGTAGGTAGGGCCAAGGAAAGACCCTTGGGGTACATTTGCATTAATCTCATGGGCTGCAGAAGACTGACTATTAACAATTACCTTCATGGAAATATTTGATAAGAAGGACTTGATAATTGCAAATATTCTTCTAGAGATACCATAGCTAGAGTTTGTGTAGCAACCCCTCATGCCACACCTTATCAGAGATATTTGGGATATTTAAGGGGATTGCAATTGTGATGAATTTATAATCAAATGTTTTACTGATTTTGTGTGTAATGATACTTAAAACATCAGCAGTGGACCTAGAGGAATGAAATCCATACTATTTGTCACTATTTCTGTTGAAGCAATCAACCACTTCTTTGTTGATAAGAGACTCAAAAAGCTTGCTGATGATATTAAAGAGACTGATGGAATGATTTTGCAGCAGGGACAAGTACTCATCCACATTCTTGAAAACATGGCATACAGTTGACACTTTCCATTGACTTAGGGAAACATTTCTACTTCAGGCAGTAGTTAAACAACTTTACCAAGATTGGTGATGGTTCTAGGTAAGGTTATTATTAACAGTCACAGGAATTTAATCTTGACTGCTAACCTTCTAGAGTCAAGGCTTTTGATAAGTCTGGAAACTTCCTTAGATGAGATGGAGTAATCATAAAGTTTGTGCTCCATGTGAGTGAGGAAATCAGATAGAGGATTGCCCTTGTCATCTAACAAGGAGTTAGCGGCAAAGTTCATTGGAAAGAGCTTAACCTTATCTGACAAAAATGAGATAACCTCAGGGGGCCATTTATAATAATAAGAATGGATGTATCATGATCTAATATTCAGATTGTGTATGTATATATTTATGATGCATATATATATACATGATATACATTATATTAGATATCTTCAATAATTTGCCAAAAAAATTGCATAGCATGATGAAAAAGGCCCCAAACTTAATAAAAACAAAGTTTTATCAGCAAATATTTTCATGTTATTATTAAGAGGAAAGACCAAAGTATTTTTTAAATTATTTTCTAAAATTTTTTAATCCTTTCTAGCACATTCAAAATTTTAGTTAATTTTCTTTTTTTTTTTTACTTCGGCGGTCACGTAATATTTACCATTAATATTTTAGTGCCTTTTTTTCAGTTGAAAAACACATTAATTTGGAAATTCTTGCAAAAATCAAATACTTGCCAGATTAAATGAAACTTTCAGGACTTACTCACAAATGAATGAAATTATTTTAGGAAATGTTTGTCCTTTAGAAAATCATGGTAATATATATATATATATATATATATATATATATATATATATATATATATATTTACATCTGTTGAAAATTACTTAATTTTATGAAAACTCTAAAATTCAACTTCTGTGAAATTTTCTGATTATATTAGTTAAAAGCAGATGATTAAATTTTTCTTGTGTGTGTATTGGTGTTTTCTTTTCTGAACATCATGATTCATGGGTTTTTTTTAAGTGAATATGTAGATTTTTATATGTGTGTTAAATTTATTGTTATATTCATTTTACAATTAATATATTTATATTTTGCTAACGACATTTTGTTTGTTGTTTATAGATACTTTGTTTCAACAAATTCGTTTTATTTTTGGCCTAGAAAAAGTCCACATTAGACAAAATGCATCGGCTAAAACTACAGCTTTCTTATTGTCTTTTTGCCTTTATACATATTGTCTTTTTCTATAAGTTAATTCTGAGAAATGTTTACATTATAAATATTTTAAGACATTTTACAGTTTGTTTTTTTTATAGATACAAATATTTAAATAAATGCTCTGTTTATAATAAACAGTATTAACAATATTTACCAGCCTGACTGTCCAAGAAATTGTCATAGAAAATATGTGTACTCCAACAGGAATCAAACCTGTATCCTGTACAGAACTGTCATATAGCCTGATGTGCTTTTACCAATTTCGCTACAGAGGAGCATTTTAGTTAGCAAGATCGTTTCACCGCTTCTAAACTACAATTTTCCATGATTTTCTCACGTACATTCATATCTGCTCAATGCATATCCAACTGTAAACAAATGACGTCACACATTATGAAATGGAGAAAGTCTGACAATTATTTTAAGATATTTTTATGTTTATACATTCTTTTTTATAGATACAAATATTTAAGTATGTCTCAGACATTCAGGCCGGTAAATGTTGTTTAATACTGTTTATTATAAACAGAGCATTTACTTAAATACTTGTATCTATAAAAAAGAATGTATAAACATAAAAATGTCTTAAAATACTTGTTGGACTTTGTCCATTTCAATATTATATATATATATATATATATATATATATATATATATATATATATAGATATACATACATACACACACACACACACGTGTGTGTGTGTGTGTGTATTTGTTGCATCATTTAATAAAGGAACTGTTAGAAATCATTTATACTATGAAGGGAGTGTCTACAATTTGACAAAAATTCTTTCTGTATAGACAATTTTAAAACATAATGGCGGCAGGTAACTCTATAAAAAAAAGTACACAACAAGCTAATCTGATTACATACAATTACCAAATGATTACCTACAAACCTGTTTTATAGGATTACTTTTATTTTTTACTAAATGACTTAACATTAGTTTTTCACAATTCAACTGGTCAATAACATTAAGTCGACAATTAACCCATTGAATCCATAGAACCAGTAGTACTAGTACAATATTCCAGTGTCTAATTATTGTAGTACTGGTAAACTGATAAAATATTGTACTTGATTTTAGGGTCTGTGAAACAGCTTGAAACATAGTACTCCATGTAGTACTTCAAACTGTTTTGTTTAGGAATAGGGTAAATCCCATGGCAGCACTTAAACGTTTAAATTAATTTACACTTTTTACATTTGGACTATTGCCCTCATCTTTGTTGATGTTATCACAGTACTTCAACCATTGTGCCCCCCCCCCGGTCTTCATTAGGTGTATATCGATTAGATGAAGGCCAGAGGGCACAACAGCTGAAACATTGTGATAACAACAACAAAGATAAGGACAATAGTTCAAATGTAAAAATAGTAAAACTGTAATGATAACTCATCTCAGAAATTCCAAGCATAAAAGGTTCTTTTTTACTGAAAAAATTTGTAGGTATATATATATATATATTTATATATATATATATATATATATATATATATATATATATAGGTAATAATCCATTGGTAAATAATCCAAGTGAATCCTAATAATATAAAATATTAAAACTGATCCACAAAAAGAGCTCAATGTATTTATTATAACAGAGCATATAAATTACAGATTAAAAATCCAAAGTTACCTCATTCGAAAATACCTATTTAGAAGATTTTTACTTCTAGGTCTTGTCAACTCAGAGATATGAGTTGACATATCTCATATCTCCAAGTTGACAACACCTAACCTCTGTACTCTGTGAAAGGGTTGGTTTCCTGTCAAGATTTTCATTTCCTTACAGAACCACATGTTCCTATGAGTTCCATCT